CATATTTTCTGAATTAAAAATAATTTAAAAAAAATAAAATTGTTTGATAAAATTTTATAACAAAAAACACATCCAGTATAAATAGTTCTAATTGTGAGATTATAAGAATATTATTTATTTGACGAGGTTGACCGGAAACTTTTCTAAATCTATTTCTACTCTCTCAGTGTTACTTTAGTCTTTTATGATTATTATTAATTCACGGAAAAATATAAAACTTCCATTTTTATTTTCGATCTTATCATCCAATTATAGAAAAATATGTAACTGATAGGATTTTTTTTAATTTGTATATAGTATTTAAAAATAAGATTTTTAAAAATATATAAAAATATGAGATTCAAAAATTGCTAATGATAATTTTTAGTGCAGTTGCATTCAAGGATGAAATAATAAAAATTATAAAGGTTTAAAAAAATTTAATGATATTTTTAAAATATTTAAAATTAATAATTGTGAATTGTGATCTTTTAAAAAATCATAAAAAAGTTAAACAACCAAAAATTGAAATTGAAAATTTTTCATGATCTTCCAAAATCTCATATTTTGAAAATTATTTATATTTCTCCGCTCATATAAAATAAAATCACATTCATACATAAATTCATTTTTTTTTTAATTTTACTTATAACACCACTGTTAGTATAATCAACCAATTTTTGAAAATACTTTGAGTTAATTGATTAAAATAAACTTTTAAATAAATTACATTTACATATTTTAGATTTAACAAATTTTTATTTGATATTTTTTTAATTATTTTAACCTTATCTAATTCTTATAAATGAATAAAAACTTATATATAATTTGTATAATAAAATATTTTATGCCCTATTTAATTTGCTCATTTTTTATTATCATTTTCAATGAAAAAAAATAGAAGAGAAAATTTGTTTAGTTCATTTTTACAAAATATTTTTTAAAAATATTTTAAAAATTCAGCTCAAATTTAAAAAAAAAAATTGTTCTCAAAGATTTCTTTGAAAATAGAAAAACTTAAAAACGAAAATAAAAATAAAAATAAGATAACATTATTATAAATATCATTCAATTTTAATTAGACCTATTATAGTCACTAACTTATTCACTTCCTACTTCTTTTTATTGTGTTACAATGTCATGCATAATGTTATTTTTTAATCTTTTATCTTGTTATGTTAATAGTGACATATACAAAATTTAAAATGTTACATACTACACCGTTCACTTTCTTCTTTTCATATGTTAATTACTTTTTATATAATATATACTATCTTTTCATTTTTATTATTAAAACAAATATGTATCTATATATTATACTATTTATATATTTTTATTTATATAAATTAATACATAATTTTAAAAATTCATATCTATAATTTTTTTATTTTTTATTATTACATTTGTAGTTGCTATTTAAAAAAATTATATATCTATATTTTAATAATAATTTTTGAAACAAAAGAGTACACATATTCATTATTAGAATACTCATAATTAAATAAGATAAAACTGAGAAGAGTACACACTTTATAAATTTTCATAAACTTATTTTTATTAAAATTAATGAATATTTATAAAATTAATAAATTTATAATAAAAAATTTGTACGTCCCACGTTATATAAGTGATAATTATATTTATATTATGTTTTATTATTTTTGAGTCTTAAGATACAATGGTAATAATATTTAAATTTATTAAATAAATAGTGTAATAAAATTGACATTAGCAAGGATATATATTAAAAAAAATTATTATAAAAATTATTTATTAATAAAATATTAATAGTTAATTTTCAAACTTATATAAAAAATAAATAAATTCATTATTGAAAATAATCAAATCAAACATATTTAAAATATTTTCTGCTTTTAAAAACAGGAAATAAAAAGTCAAATCAAACACAAAACTTGAAATTTTGAATATAAAAGCTATTTTTCGAAAATGAAAACAGAAATAGAAAATGTTTTTTGAAACTAAACGGGTGTTTTCCTTTCCCATCTTTAAATTAAGTTTATATTTTGTCTTCTACTTTTTTTTCCCTATAACTCATAAAAATATTTTAATTATATTTTTTATATTGTTCTTAATAACATTAACTTAGTTAAAAATATTTGTGTTGCAACTACTTTCTCTTGCGTCTCTTTTTTTTTTTTTTTTTCAATTCTTCCTTATTATTCTTCTATTGTGTGAAATTTTTTAAAAGAAGAAAAATAAAAAAAAGAATACAATGCATAGCTAGAAATTTCAAATGTAAAGGTAGAAACTGAAAATCGTTGATAAATATGTGTAACAACAATCTCAATTCACCATTTATCCAAGATTTACAACTTATTAGCCCAAACACAAGTAGAAGTTTGGCTATAGAAAGGAAAAAGGAAAGTGAAAAAGAGATATATTTGTTTAAAGAGCTTTTATAAGTTAAAATGAATTATTATAGAAATCTTCTTTAAACTTAAAAAACACCAGATAATCCATGCTGAGTTAGCATTACTATGAATTATTATATATATAACTATTAACATTACTAAAATGCTTACCAATATCAATCTAATTCTATTTATTATCTTTCATTTTTCTCAATCTTTGAATTGTTTGTACAATTTTATTAATTATTTTTCATCTTTGAGATAAAGTTAGTGAGTTTTGTAGGTTACTCCCAATTAAATTAAAATTTAATTACTTTTTATTTTTGTAGCTAATTCAATGAAAATTATCTTTTAAGAGTTATAACTATTTACTTTAAAGAATGTTGACATTAAATTTTTTTTTTAAAAAAAATCTTTCAATTTTTATTTTTTATTTACATTTATAATAATAAAACTAATATATTATTTTTTTTATTTTGTAGCTTGCATAAAAAAAATGAAATATAATATAACATTATTAATAAAAGTTACTTTTAATTCAATTACGTTTTTTAAATAATATTACAATAACAAAGACTAAATGTTAAAAAAAATTGTATAATGATTAAAATATAATTCTTTTAGTCTAAAAATTATTTTCTAAAAAAGTGTTAATTACAAGAGCTAAATATATATTATAACTTAAAATAAAATAAGAATTATTGGTTCTATAATCTTCAAAAATATATATTTACAAATATTACTATGATGAGTATTTTTCTTATAAAGTGTTTTTCATTTCATTTACTCATTCAAGATACTCATATTGTTTTTACTATTTTAACAATAATTTATATACATGATTTTATATAAATTATTATAAGTTATTAGTATTTTCTAAACACTTTTAGTATTTTTTTTTAAATTTTCAAACGAGCTATTTGATTATAAATTACCTAATTATTTTTCTAAACACACATTTAGTGTCGTTAAATTAACTGATTAAATTGCAGGACGTAGATTAGAAGTACATGGATTCGATTTTTCATGATATGCTTTACTATCCTTTTCCTTTAATTTTCCTTATTTCCTCTCCTCTTTCTCCTCAAAACTCATAAGACATTTGTATAATAATTCTTACTAGTTACTCGAATACGTGAAGAACATTTTTCTTATGATTTATTTACATTTTACAAGATTCAAAGGTTAACAAATTAACTTTTTATATCTAGAAGCGTCGAACTTAATTTGAAAAAAAAAATGAGAAAGTAAAAAATTAAATATATTGAAATGATTATATTTTTTTCTTACTGAAATCTAATTTTTAACACTATATTACATTCTCAAAAATTAAAGTACATTTTTTGTATTCTATATAATGTGCTTACAGTCGAATTTTCTTAGGGACGAATTTATAGATTTTAAGTAAAGTGGTCATTTATCATAATATCTAATCGTCAATATCTTATATAAACACACATGAAAAATCTATATTTATAAATATAAAGGTAATGATATAGCTGCAAGCTGTTCATATACAATAAAATTAAACTTAATTTTCTTAAAATGTAAGTATAAAAAATATTTCCGACAATAAAATACAGAAATGAACATAAATATACTAAAATGATGCTTTGTCTCATTTATAAAAAATTATAGGAAAAAAACCATACCTATAACTTTTGATATGTTTTGTTAAGAATAGAAAATTACGCAGATGTTTATATAAAAGAATTTAGTATAAAATTAAAGAATAATATGATTAAATTTTTTATAAATATTAGAAAAATTAATTAAAATACATTGATAACATAAAATTTATTTATACTCATTCAATTATAATCAGTGATGTAATTAAAAGTTATTTTATAGTAATTTTTAGAGACTTTTCTATGTCTTCGACGTCTTCCAGATGATATATGACCTAATAAAGCTAATAATGAATATAATTTTGTTCCAAAATCAACAAAAGGATATTTTTTATAAACACTAATTTGTAAATAAGTATTAACTATAAAAATTAAATAAATATTTTAATAAAATAATTTTTTTATAATTTTTTAGAAAAAATTAAAAATAAAAGATTAAATAAAAATTATAAATTTTTAAGAGATTAAAAGTTCATATATTAAATTCAAAGATTATCACTTATGGTTAAATTATATCTATTTATTAATATAAAAATATTAATTTGATAAATATATAGATCAATAACTAAAATACATATTTTAAGTTCATATTTAATATTTTTACAATTTAATTTTATACTTAAAAAATTATATTTTAACTTTTATGAAAATATTTTATTATTAACAATGTTATAGCGATAAAAATTAAAACATAAATGAGAGGAGAAAAATATAATAAGACACTCCGTAGAGACTGGGACTTAACTTTTTGAGGTAAAAGATGTAATTTATAAAGAAAAGCTAAATATGATTAAATGTATATTTAACTTATTTTAAAACTAAGGGAGTTTCTGTTCTAACTTATTACAAAATAATGCATGCTGAGTTGGCAGTGCTGCGGAGCATTCTATATATAGCTGTTGGCATTGCTAAATGCTTCCCAGAATCAATCTATTTCTCTATTCAGTGAATTTGATCGATCACTTAAATTGTGATGACTATGAATTCAGTTTGCTTCAAAATGATGAAAGGCATATTAATAATGCTGTGTTTGGTGTTGCAGATTGTCTCTGCCAAACAGCCAATTAGATGCATTCAAAGAGAGAGGGAAGCACTCCTTCAATTCAAGGCTACACTTGTGGATGACTACAACATGCTTTCATCATGGACCACTCCAGATTGTTGCCAATGGAAGGGAATTCGTTGCAGCAACCTCACTGCCAATGTTCTCATCCTCGACCTTCACGGAGAGTTTAACTATTACTATGCTTTCCGTGACTACTACTATGAAGGAGTTTTTGACAATTATTTACTCCGCGGTGAGATCCACAAGTCATTGATGGAGTTGCAACAATTACAGTATTTGAACCTCAGTTCGAATAATTTTCTAGATAGTCATATCCCAGAGTTCTTCTCTTCTCTTCACAACTTGAGATCCCTTGATCTCTCACGTTCTCATTTTTGTGGAAAAATTCCAAGTCAATTTGGGTCTCTCTCACATTTGAAATACTTAAATCTTGCTGGGAATTCTTTGGAGGGTTCAATCCCTTATCAACTTGGAAATCTCTCCACGTTGCAGCATCTTGATCTCAGTGGCAATCATTTAGAAGGAAATATACCATCTCAGCTTGGGAACCTGTTCAACTTGCAAAAGCTTTATCTTGGAGGATATGACAATGCTCTCAAAATGGATGATGGGAATCCCGGTGGAGGTCAGTGGCTGTCTAATCTCACTTCTTTAACCCATCTTCACTTGCTCTCTCTATCTAATCTCAACGGTTCTCATTATTGGCTGCAAATGATTGGCAAGCTTCCAAAACTAAGAGAACTAAGTTTATCTGATTGTAGCCTTTCCGATCATTTTATCCTTCCAATGAGGCCTTCTAAATTCAACGTTTCTACGTCTCTTTCTGTCTTTGATCTCTCTCACAACACCTTCACATCATCCGTCATATTCCAATGGGTGTCAAACATTACTTCCAATCTTTCTGAGCTTGATCTTCGTGGTAACCTCTTGGAGGCTCCCCCCTCAAATCATTTTGCCATGGTAATGAATTCTCTTCACCTGGTTGACCTCTCCTTTAATAGATTCAAGGATGAGGTTTTGAAATCCTTCATGAATATATGCACCCTGTGTTCTTTATACCTGCGTGGCAACAATTTGACAGAAGACCTTCCATCAATTCTTCATAATTTGTCTAGTGGCTGTGTTAGAAACTCACTAGAAGAGTTAGATCTATCATATAATAACATCACTGGCTCTTTAACTCACCTCTTAATATTCTCATCTTTAAAATGTTTAGATCTTTCTCGAAATCAACTAAGTGGAAGGATACCACCAGGTACCACATTGCCATCTAAAATGGAGTTTTTGTCACTCAGCTCAAACTCTTTAGAAGGTGGAGTTCCAAAATCATTTGGGAGCACATGTACTTTGAATTCGTTGGATCTTTCTTATAATAGTTTGAAAGAAGAAGTAACAAGGATATTTAGTCACTTCTCTGGGTGTTCTAGATATTCACTGCGAGAAATAAATCTCAATGGCAACAAAATCAATGGCACAATATCTGACTTCTCAATGTTTTCGAATTTCAAAAGAGTTTGGCTATCAGGGAATCGATTAAGTGTGAAGATACCTAAAAGCAGCATATTATCATTCGATCAATTGGAGAAAGAGCGTGGAGTTCCAAATTCATTTCAAAATGCGGGTACTTTGCAATCACTGCTCCTGTCCAACAATAGTATAAGTGAAGAGCTTCCAACGATAATCCATCATTTGTCAAGATATGCTAGATACTCCTTGCAAACATTACATCTGAGCATGAATCAAATCAACGGCACTCTGCCCAACCTCCGTCCACTGCTCCCATCTTTGAAAAAATTGTATCTTAGTGAAAACAGGCTTAATGGGACCATTCCTAAAGATGTTCAATTTCCAACAGAACTAAAGAGTTTAGTTTTGAATTCAAACTCTATGAAAGGTGTAATCACTGACTCCCACTTTGCTAATATGTCAAAGTTAAATAGGTTGGAGTTGTCTGATAACTCTTTGGCCTTGGCATTTACCCACAATTGGGTCCCACCATTTCACTTGTCCAAAATCAGATTGAGATCTTGCAAGCTAGGTCCAGCGTTTCCCAAATGGTTGCAAACACAAAATAACTACAAAATTATTGACATTTCTGATGCTGGAATATCAGATATTGTTCCACGTTGGTTTTGGGCTAAAATAGCGTCGCAAGAGTGGATGGAAATGAATATTTCACACAACAATCTCAAAGGTGTAGTTTCAAATTTTCCACTAAAGAATCCTCAAAATTCTCTAATTCTTGCATCGAATCAATTTGAAGGTCCAATACCACCATTTCTACGACGTTCAACGTTTCTTGATCTATCAAACAATAAATTTTCAAATTCTCTTTCATTTTTATGTGCCAGTGGTGTAGCCGATACTTTATACAGTCTAGACCTTTCAAACAATCAATTATCTGGACAAATTCCAGATTGTTGGAGCCAATTCGAGTCACTAGTCTATCTAGATTTGAGTCATAATAATTTTTCAGGAAAGATTCCTAATTCAATAGGATCACTTCTTCAACTTCAAGCACTGCTATTGAGAAACAATAACTTAACAGAGGAAATTCCTTTCTCGTTGAGAAATTGCACAAAGTTAGTGATGATAGATATGGCAGAAAATGGATTCTCAGGACTTATCCCTACTTGGATTGGAAGCACGTTGCAAGTGTTGCAAATTTTAATCTTAGCAAGGAATCAATTCTTCGGAAGTTTGCCATTACAAATTTGTTATCTGAAAAGCATTCAACTTTTGGATCTCTCACTCAATAATTTCTCTGGACAAATTCCTAAATGCTTCCAAAATTTCACTTCAATGGCTCGAAAGACTCCCTCGAAGGATCATCCAAATCATTTATATTTTTTCAACGCTAATTATATGAGGGGAAATAGGTCTTATGATTTGAATGCAATCTTAATGTGGAAAGGTGCGGAAGAAATGTTCACGAATTATGGGCTTTTCCTTTTAAAAAGCATTGATCTCTCTAGCAACAACTTCTCAGGAGAAATTCCAGCAGAAATAGAGGATTTATTTGCATTGATTTCATTGAATTTATCAAGAAACAATTTGAGAGGAGAAATTCCTTCAAATATTGGAAAGCTTGCATCACTTGAATTTCTTGACTTATCAAGAAACCAATTTGTTGGTTCAATTCCATGGAGTCTTACTCAAATTGATCGACTCACCATGTTAGATTTGTCGCATAACCATCTAAGAGGAGCAATTCCAACTGGTACACAATTACAAAGTTTCAATGCTTCCAGTTATGAAGATAATTTTGATCTTTGTGGGGCGCCACTTGAGAAATTGTGTGTTGAAGGGGAACCACCGCAAGAACCAATTCAAGAGAAAGATGATTCGCTCTTCACTCGTGGATTTTACATTAGCATGACATTTGGATTTGTTATAGGCTTTTGGGGGATCTTCGGCTCAATCTTGATTAAGCGTTCTTGGAGGCATGCTTATTTCAAGTTCTTGAACAATTTCATAGACTCTGTTTATGTCATGGTTGCAATTAAACTTATCAAGTACAGGCGTTGATACAGAGCATTGCTGGTAATAATGTTTTATTATCCTTGTCATTTTGTATGCTTAATTATGCTTCTTTACGCCAAATAGACATAATTTTGCTACTGTCAAGGTTTTTTCTTAATAAAAAATTTCTATAATTGTTTTCTAAATAATAGCTTTCAATAAGAAATAACCTACATAATTTTATGGTAATTATATCGTCTTGACAAATTATTTATAAATACTAATTAATTTAACCAAAAGTTTAACAATTTTCATACTAGATAAGTTTTCACTGTGTATCCTTAAATACACATTAATTTATTTTTCTGTTCATAATTTTCTTTCCTCTTTTTTTTTTTTTTTATCTTCTCTCATTTTTCTTAATCTTTGTATTGTTTTTCACAATTTCAGTAATTACTTTTCATTTTTAAGATTTTTTATATTATGTGTTTTAAAGCTGATGAGTTGCGAGGTAATATCTAATCTAAATTATAACTTAGTTATTTTTCAATTCTTGTAGCTAATCCAATGAAAAATATCTTTCAATAGTTATAAAAAAAATGTTGAGATGGAGATTAATTCATGTAAAAAAAAAGTTGAAAAAATGCTTTCAGTTTTTATTTTTTATTTTCAAACAGGAAAAAAAATGTAATATAATAACATTAATAAAAGTTACTATTAATTGAGTCATATTTTTAAAATAGTATGATATTGACAAGGACTAAATATTACAAAAAACTTGTATAAAAAAAAATTAGTGTAAAAACTAATTTATAAATAAGTTTTAACTAAAAGAACTAAATATGTATTTTAACTTAAAATAAAAAAAAAATCTTAATTCTCGTTACTTAAGGATACAAATATTATTAGGTGAATGTTTTTCTCATAAGTCTTAGAAAATGTACAAGGATACTAATATTATTGTGATTAATGTTTTTTTTATAAGGTAACGATTATCAATCTAGTAATATTGTTATTGTTTAAATTCTTGAAAAATGTTAATGTTATTTAAAAAAAAAAAAGGATTCTTTTTAATATTTTCTAGAAGCAATTTAACATATTTTTATTTCTTTTATACATTTCAATGACTCACATTGTTAATCCTTTTATTCAGTCTCTCGAAGACTTCCATCCTCTTGCATATCCAATATTTGAGCTTGTAATTATTGGTCAGAGCAAGTTTTCTACGAGTAATGGGCGAACTGAAAGCAACTTCGTGTGTTTTGAGTATTTAGAAATATCATGTGTTTAAGTATCTTTGATTATAGTTAATTGGCTTAAATAAAGTTTTAGTTATTTAAAAATTTACAATTTTTTTTATTTCGTCATTTTTAGAGAAATAATCTAATCTCCCAAAAATAGTTGTTTGTATGTTCTATTAAAGATTTGTTAACTTATTTCATGATTTACATATGTTACTTAATCCATGTTATTCAAAGCATCATATTTCTAAATCAAACTGGTTTTATAAGATTGTTGTTTTTGAAATTAAATTTAGTAATACAAAATAATGATTGTGTAAAAAATGTGACATCATCTACATAAAACTCATTACATGAGACAAATCAAATGTCACAAACAAATAATGAAATTTTTTTAAAAATTATTAATAAAGAAACTATATAAAATAAATAAATAAATTGGGAGACTAATTTAATATAAATTAAAAATAAAAGATCAAATAAAAACTATATAAACGTAGTTATTTGAAATATAATATTTGAATAGACTAAAGTTGTGAACATACCCACGAAAATTCTATTTTAGGAGTGTTTTGCTTATAATGAAATATAAAATACCATATATTTTAATAATAGTTTACTTAAATAGTTTTATATTCAAAATTTTGTTTCCAAAAAAAAATAAAATTAGTTAAAGATATTTGCTACAAGAAAGTTAATATTTCAATGTGTACCTACTTTCAATTTTTTAAGAATTAAAAAAATTAGAAAGACAAATTTGTGAATCAATGAATCAATCATTGCTACTCTATCATATGAGGATAAAATATTCCGAACTTATAAAGCTTAAATTACATGAAAATCGCTTCAATTTTCAAGATATGCATAAATCTCAATTTTTATGTTAAAAAGTTTTAAAATGAAACAATATGCATCAAACTCTAGCTAACTAAAACCTCTTATCTGATCATAGCCAAATAGTTCCAATGTAAATGATAAGTAGTTTCAACACGTTTTAAGGAAGAAATGTTGCATCAAACTCAAGCTAACTAAAACCTCTTATCTGATTAGTACTTTGTTTTTGTAGTTGTAATATCCTACATTTTTCCATCTTAAATATATTTATTTTCATAAAATTTTAGAAAGAATAACCAACTTTTCCTTAAAACGATTGATCAAAATTTATAGGGATAAAACCTTTCATAACAGTTAATTCATATACAAAACAAATTTAAGAAGATAACTGCATAAAATATATTACAAATTAATATTTACATATAATTATCCATAATATATCAAATTTTACAACAGTTCATATTCATTCTTACTTATTAAGGACCTTAAACTATTTATCTATGTCATATCAGCTCTTAATTTTTGCTAAGTCTCACTACTAAAAAGTCTGTTTATACAAACAGATTTACAGACAGAATTTTAGAGTATTACAGACGATTTTTGCCATTACAGACGGACATAAACCGTCTGTAATATCGTTGTCGGTAAAGAATTACAGATGGATTTGAGAATCTGTCTGTAATTTACAGACAGAAAAATCCGTCTATAAGTTAAATTCCGTCTGTAACCTACAAACGGTAAAATTCGTCTGTAGATAGCTATTTCCTGCTGTTCTTGATTATCACAATTTATAAACAAAAAAAAAACTATAGATTCGGCATCTAAACATTTCAAAATGATTTATAAAATATAAAGTTTAAATATTATTACAAAGGAAGACAAAAAAACATCTAAATAAAGACATTTAAAAATAAAATACAAGTGGCAAATCAGAAATAATCTGTATGGTCATCATCCGAAGGAGCATCATCATCAGTAGACAAGGAGTCAGTAGAGGAATGATGCATGGAGGTGAAAACCGGTGGTGCTGGAGCTGGTGGAGGAGGAGGAAGAGGTGTGGAGCTACTTGCTCTCATGAGCTCAAAATAAGCATGCATCTGCTGCATCTGCATATGCTATTGTTTCATCTGCTGCTGGACCTCCCTTTGCATTCTCGATGCCACCTTCTTCTTTATCTTCTTCTCCATTTTCTTTGCCCACTTCTTCTTCCATGCACTTTCTTTACTCTTCCACATCTCCTCATTCTGCTTCTGGAATTCTTCATTGAGGGCATGGACCTAAATGCGAACCATGTCCTCTACTTCCTCAGGTGCAAGAGAAGGGGCATCTCCAGTGACAGATGCAGGGGACATAGAGTCTGCAAAGTGGCCCCCCATGCCATAAATGCGACCTTTATAAAGGCCACCAACTGTCTGTGACCACATAGCATCCTCATCTATTAACTCTGGATTCTGAGAAGATGCTTCCTCAAGCCTTTGAATATAGTCATCCTACAGTTCAGTTCAGATAATTAGATATTAGTTTGGAGAACTATTTAATAAGTCGCTAATAATAACATATATTATCAATAAGAATGACTTACATATGTGGCCTGAGATCGTGTATCAACCCACAGGTTTTTGTCTTGCCTGCGAGTGTGTGTCTCCTTAAACAACTCTCCAGTCGTAGGTGGCCTCTTCAACGACTTCTCCTGCAATTGGAAATAAATCACAATCTCAAATATGAAATTATAGATAGAGTAAACTGAATTTTAAAATCACATACCAAGTTCGCCTTAGTGCTAGCCAAAGTCGTAGACCTACCAGTATGCAATAACCCCCCTTATTAGATGCCCTATTTGTCTTATTCTTTACAGAGAGATTTTTAAACTCATTCGTACCGCAATACTCCTGCAAGGCATGAAGAAAGTTGGGTGCTATCCAATCAGCAGTAGAAGGGTCCTGGCGAGCCTCAGTGTACATCTGTCTTAGTCGCTTTGCAGTGCGACTCTTCCAGGCCTTGAAAATCATCTTTTTGTCCTGGGGGGAATGGAGAAGTTGCTCTACATAAGCACAATTTTATTAGAAGAGGTACAAACAATCATTTGTAATTACACTTAGTTAAAATTAATACACTATTATTACCTTCCAATCTTTGAACCATTCCATCTTTGTATCCTTTGGCACCTTTGCAAAACTTTTGTAAGGCGCATCAAACATCTTCTTAATTGTATCTGTGACCTGATGGAGACCTTTCTGTGGTGGTATCCAACTGATAACACAATAAAATTAAACATAACTACTAACATTCACATAAAATACGTAATGTTAGGCATATTTGATTGAATTACTTACCAAGTGGACCCATCCCATCTCAAAGTTTCTAACGATCTCGATGATGCCTGGGTCTGTGATGACTGCTGCCCGCTTATAGCTGGGACAGTAGTGGATCCCTCTCCTGTGCCCTGTGTAGCAGGTGACTGTGTGGCATGTGTAGTAGGCGGTGCAGAGTGTGAAACTCACTGTACTGGAAGGGGAGGAGCAATATACCCAGGATTGGGCACCATGATAAATTGCTCCTGTCCCCTAACCTGGGAGGTCTGCACTATTGCTGGTGTGGAGGTCGAAGTCGGAGTAGTGGGTGAAAAAGTGTTGTCACGATAAGGACGCTGAGTTACACCCTTCTTACCTTTACCTGCCATATCTGAATCAAACCATATATATGTTTAGAGACAAATACTACAATCGCTATAAAATATGATTAATATTGGTGATAACTCAAATAAAATAATCATGGAAACATAGTAAATTGACAAACATACTTACTTTACCTCATTTACTCTGATAGTTCAAGACTACCTTCATCATCATTCGATGAAAGTTCATCCATAAATCCTTCCTCCTCGTCTTCTATGATGTCATCCATTGCATTATTTCTCATAACTTGGGTAGGAGGGTCAATTATTTCAATTTTATAAAAAGGAGAAGATAAAATTGGAGGGACAACAGTGTCTATTACTACACGTGAAGGGATTGACTCATCAATTTGATATGCTTCTTCATCATCTACTTCATCACTTTCAATTCGACCCCTTGGTTTAGTTTTAATTACAATCCTCCAACTTTTATTACATTTTCCAGGGTAAGATAAGAAATATACTTGTCTTGCATTTTGTGCAATGATGAAGGGGTCAAAGCCTCTATATCTTTTGGTATGGTTAATCTCAATTATATTGTAATGGTTATGTTTACGTGTACCTGTTAGGCGTGTTGGATCAAACCATTCACACTTGAATAAGACAATTCTTTTTATGGTTTCACCAGCATATTCAAGCTCAACTATTTCATGAAGTTTTCCATACCAATCACAGTCACCATCACTTGAATTTCCTCTCATACTAACTCCACTATTATCTGTTTTTCTCCCTTGACATGATTCAATGGTTTGGAATTTATACCCATTAACAAAGTAAATTGGCCAACAATATGCTTTATTTTTTGGACCTTTGGACAAGTTATATAGGTCAGGATCTGTGATACCATTACTAGGATCACGCACCTACACATACCATTAATCGATGTCAATTGATTGAATACAGAATAATATTAAAAAGTCAAATAACTAAAATGTTAGGGAAATGTCATAACGTACATAACTTTTGAACCATGATGGAAATTGATTAAGGGATTGATGACCATATAATTGTTCAAAATATCTGTAAACATTGCAACATCATTAATTAGATTTGAATCACCATAATCAGAAAAAATCATTAAAGCAATCATAAGTCACTTA